TGTCGGTAGAAAGGGCGCGTTCTGGGAGGATGTCATATGACACCTTCCCAGAACTGGACAACCGCGCTGCAGCCGTCATTTGGTTATAGCACGGTTGAGAAGTGGTTAAGCAAATGAATACTGCACTTTTTTCTGTGAGCACAAAAATAGATACCCTGCACACACCTAAGGTTCAGTATCAAAAAGTAAACATCAGACTGGTTAGTGGTAAATGGAACCAATATATTTAGGTTAAGGATTAGGTCAATTACAGTTCTCTAGACAATATGCTCAATAGGCTATAGCAGCATAGAATGGAGTTTTATGCAGCTAAATTAGAGTAAACGTGGTAATCCACAAAATCAGCAATAAGCAATAGCATTAGAAATCAGTCACAGCAATGATAATCAATACTGCGATAACTCCTCTGTAAAGGGGCTGTATTTACTTTAGAGTGCACTTTCTATGAGTGGCAGTGATAGAATTTAAGTCTCCGTAAAGAGGTACCTCTTACTATGGACAATAGACAAACTTCTTGTGAAGCAGCTATCTGAGTGAGCAGTCTTTAGCCCTAGTTATTCAGCCGGCTAGAGTTGGGGTGCAGTCTTTATGGTGATGACTACAGTCCCAGTAAATTCTGCATGCAGTAAATAATGCTGCTAGTTAGGTGGGCAGTCCCTCAGTCTCTGCTAACAGCAACAGAGTAATGGCAACAGTGTCCTCTCACCAGTCCCAATGATACAGCAACGGGGGTCCCACCATTCAGGTGTCAGTTCAATTTTGTATCTGCCTAGAGCAACTTCGGTCCTCAGGACACAAGTAGAGGCTTGTAACAAGTTGATATACACACCTCAGTGTCCTCACAGCAAAGAGGAAATTCCATGGTATTCAGCCTGTGAAAATACAGCTCTTTCTCTCTTTATATCCAGTTTGCTTAGGGAATTATAGTTGTATAGTCCATGGCTCTGACCTCTGCATGCAGACCCCCTGCACTGCCCCCTTCTCCCCCCCTCCTTAAAAGCTCCACCATCTTCCAATTGTTTTACTTTTTGCTGCTGTATTAAGTTAAAACACCCAGTCGGCTCTAGTACCTCCCCGCACACTGTAGGTGGTTCTGCCTCTCTCACTTGCAGGGAGATCATTCAGTAGGGGTGTTGGCATCTGAACTGCACCCTGGGCACCTGCATCTCCTTGTCCCCATCCTGCACTCAAAGGGAGCTGCTCAGGAGATCAGAGCCTTTGGGAGACAAGCTGTTACTTGTAAACACAGAAGATGGACTTCTGTGTTTAGAAGTGATAGCGGTGAGCATTAGGCAGAGGGCCAGAGCCAGAAGTGGTGGAACCAAGTTCCAGAGTTCCACCAAGTTCCAGCTGAAAAAAAGTTCTGCACACAACTGACCCCTTTTTGTTGTTTTGCACTTTCAGAACAGATATAAAACATTTTCAAACAGACTAACTCTTAACTCTGAATGTAAATTGGAAGCTCATATCCTGTATACATTTAAAAAAATACAAGTTCAGACCTGCTTTATACCTACCAACCTATAACACCTCTTGCTGGGTTTTTACACATTTTGCAACGATGGCCAAACTTTGTACTTTCCATTCTGCATTGTAGCTAAACATTGCACATTTTACTTCATGGTTTATTTATACTTTGCATACTTTACACCTTAATTAAACTTTGCATGTTACTTTTATTCTCTGGCATCCTATTTTGTACTTTCAGCCATACATGCTGAAACATCTGCATTTCAATCCATGTATGAGTAGGCTGCTTTTACACAAGTCGAGCTATCGCTTGATTTGTGGACAGCCAGCCTGTCGGGTTTGTGCTGAGTGATCAGTGCTGCTGTTATAGACAGCAACACTGATCACTACATTCTGACAAAATTGAAGTTTTCCTGCTGTCAGAATACAATACCACAGTAGGAAGGATTCCCCTATGCACCTTGAATGTGTGGATGGGGGAATTGGCTCAATTTTTTTTTGTTCACGGAAAAAAAAATAAACATGTATGGCTAGCCTTGGCCATACACATTTTTAGAATATTCGTAAGAAAAGTTGTATGAAAATTCTTTACACATTCGATGAATGGAGGAATGTCGTTCAAAATTGTCTTTTGCTTTTAACATTAGATTTTAAAAAGGAATGTAATTTCTGAACGATAACCACATACACTGGCCAAAAATCCATTTGATCGAGAATTTTCTGTCCTGCCCCTTCAAATTTTCCCATCACTGCTATCAAAAACGAACATCAATTTGACCCCACTAACGATTAGAAAATCAAAAGAATATTTGCAGGTTTCAATCGTAGACCTTTAAAATATATAGAAAAACTACTTTCAAAGTACAGAGTCTCTCTCAATTGTAAAAAGAGTATGTCTATACAGTGCTTGCATTGGTAAGGGAAAGTCATAAAGGCTAGGTTCACACTCGCCTATTCTCTGAAAGTGCACTTCCAGGTGTTCAGGAGGAAATTTTGCTGCCTCCTGAATGACTGTCCTTTTTTTTTTCTGAATGCCAATTTACAGTGGGAATAATGTTGCTGCATGGTCTCATTGACTTTAATGGCCAAATTTGACAAGCATTGACACCTGTGAACATGACACCTCGCATTATGTTTGTCACAGCCCCAGCATGTGAACAGTCTCCTTAAGCTGTGTTTTGGATTTTAGGTGGGTGGCCAGAGGGTGATAAAACTGTGACTCAACTGCCTGCTTTTTATCTTTCTACAGTAAATATGTTTTCAGAACTCTCCAGTATGGGTACCCCAAAAAATATTTAGCCATATCTTTACTAGGATTTCTATTTTTTTGTGCTTTAGGGGCCCTGACCTAAGCAGTAGTTTCCTTGCTTAAAATGTATATTCTTCAGATTATTTTTAACATATAAAAAAGTAATTTTATCATATATTTTTACATATATTTGTAAATGCATTCCAAAAATGTAGATTTGTATTTTTAAAGACATACAGTATATTTGAAATGTATTTTTAAAAATATTTTTCATATATTTTGTAATAAAAATGCATTTCAATGTGCAATGTGTATGTGTGTGTATATATATATATACATAAATATATTAAATATGGCCAAAATTGTAGCATTTCAAATATATTTTTCTTACATGTGGGACAGTCCACTTCCTTCAGACTGAGGGGAGTATTCAAGCTGTTTAGAGGAGCCCGACATGTTTCAACACAGGAGTTGTTTCCCCAGGGGCTATCAATGAATCTAATAGGACAGACTTACAAGTAATCAATGTAAACATTACCAGTGGGCTTCAGATACAAATTGAATACATGAAAATATAAACAATGTGTATTGTATGGTAAAGGACTCCTCAATGCAACAATGCACATCCCCGCAACCAACCAGAAGAGCAACCCTACGGCAAATGCGGGGGCGCATCAAGCAGGCAACTGGGCAACCAAGAACACAACACAGGAATCACAGGCAGTATGCAGATAAGATTAGATAGTTGATCAGGGGTGCAGGGCAACATTAGACATCATCATCATTGTTTTCCAGCTAATAAGGTATGGTAGTAGGGAGCACCACAGGCCTGCAGGAGACCAAAATATAAAGAATAGTCAATAGTGCCCTAAAGAGGCAACCCATCTCTGCATTATATTATCATATTATAAACAAGGTCCAAGGTTCTTCAAACAAGATCACCATAAAAAAGATTACCTCAATACGTGATACGAAACGTCCACTGCATAAACCTTGGAGGTACATGAGGACAACTACCATCCATGAGGCAAGGGACTGAAGTACAGCAAACTCGAGATGGATCACCTCCACTATTTAGCGTAGAAGGCAGATAGACTGAAAAACGGAATATCCCAAACTTACATGGACTCCCATTCCCGGCTCCCTCCCCAAATTATAGCCACCATCATTATAAAATACTCAAAACGTTATTATGCATACCACGATGTAAAGGGAAAGGAAAGCAGTATGCCTGGAGGAGCCAAAAACTGTCTTAGCACTGTATTAGTTCCAGTTTGTTTTCTGAGCACAGTTTCCTCAACCAGCACCAATACCTAAATATGCAGATCTGAAGGGGCTACTATCATTCTGTAAAGTATTGTCCAGTGTGTGTCTAAGTCTGACAACGTGTCATATTCCCATAATTGCAAATAAGCATGGATTGGCTGGATGCTTGAGAATACATAGAATATACAATTGGTTTCTGAGAGAAACTATCTTTATACAATGAAAATGTTTCTATTGAAAAGCTCAGTACAAGCTGGGGGGGGGGGTTCCTGAGCAGTTGCTTCATGGAAAACATGTACTGTATAAAGCTGTACTACAGTCCGAAAAGTATAGAGCATCAATTTCAGCTTAAAGATTCTTTCTTCTGTATTGACTAGCATTTTGGGGTATCCAGTTCATCCTGAACCCAATGCAGCGTTTTACTGAACAGTGAAAGGAAAATCAGTGAAGTGATAAACTCCTCTCTCTATCACTCTCCATTCTCTCCCTTTCGGCATGCTTCTTGTCACCACATGAGCTCATGCCTTGCACTGTTTCCTCTTTTCTTGCCATACAGGGACTGCAAAGAGGCTACAGGTCATCTTCAGCTACTTTCACTGTTTGCATTTAAATATTGCCTTTAGTGACATAATGATTACACAGCTGCATTAATGTGTATAAACAAAAAAGCAGTTGACTACAGCAAACTGCAAAAAGATCAATATATAAATCCAAAGCAGAGTACACAATACATCAAAATGGATACAAACAAATCTTTATTATGATCACAATGATCCTGGGGAGGATAGGCTTTGAACATGGTGAACACACAGTCAATTATAAAATAAAAACAGTGTATTAAAAACAAAAACAAGAGTCCACAGCATTCACTTGGGAGAAGAAGATCTTCCTTAACCACCTTCCGCCCACCCTATAGTACAATGACGGGCGCAAGGTGGTTCTCTCGTTCTGATAGGACGTCATATGACGTCCTACCATTCTCACTGCGCATGCGCGGCTCAAGGAGCGTGCAGAGCAGCGATCGCCGGTGCGCTGTGTCCCTCGGACACAGCAGATCACGGAAAAGAGCCGAAGATGTCGGCTCGGTCATGTGATCAGCTGTGTCCAATCACAGCTGATCACATGTAAACACGGAAATGCCGGTTATCTGCATTTCTCTCCTCTCGAGCTGTCACGCTGACAGCTTGAGAGGAGAGCCGGTAATCAGCTTTCCGTGGAGGGGACATGTACACTGATCATCAGGGCACTGATGATTAGTGTGCCCTGATGATCAGTGTGGCCCCAGAAGTGCCACCTGTCAGTGCTCATCAGTGCCACGCGCCAGTGCCCATCAGTGCCGCATCAATGCCACATATCAGTGCATACCAGTGCACATCAATGCCACATATCAGTGCCCATCTGAGCTGCCTTTCAATGTCACCCATCAGTGCCAGTCACTGCCACCTATCAGTGCCACCTATCAGTGCTGCCAATCAGTGCCAGTCAGTGTCGCCTATCAGTGCGCATCAGTGCCAGTCAATGCCGCCTATCGGTGCCAGTCAGTGCCGCATATCAGTGCCACCTAACAGTGCCATCTAACAGTGCCAGTCAGTGCTGCCTATCAGTGCCAGTCAGTGCTGCCTATCAGTGCTGCCTATCAGTGCCGTATATCAGTGTCATGTATCAGTGCTGCCTTTCAGTGCCCATCAGTGATGCCTGTCAATGCCCATCAGTGCAACCTACCAGTGCCTCCTCATCAGTGCCCATCAGTGCCACCTATCAGTGTCCATCAGTGCAGCCTATCAGTGCCCATCACTGCAGCCTCATTAGCACACATCAGTGAAGGAGAAAAATCATTTATTTACAAAATTGTATAACAAAAACTAAGAAAAAACTTTTTTTTTTCAAAAATTTCAGTGGTTTTTGGTTTGTTTAAGAAAAAATAAAAATCCCAGAGGTGATTAAATACCACCAAAAGAAAGCTCTATCTGTCACAAAAAAATGATAAAATTTTCATATGGGTACAGTGTTGCATGACCGCGCAATTGTCATTCAAAGTGTGACAGCGCTGAAAGCTGGAAATTGGCCTTGGCAGGAAGGGGGTATAAGTGCCCTGTAGGCTAGTGGTTAATGATGGATAATGACGGCAAGATTGAAGAAGAATCTACATTTTACTCTAAGTATGATCAGAACTATGTATCTTCATGACTTGAATGTAATACTGTATTAATGTGTGTTTTTTTTATACCTGCCTAGAGTTCAGCTTTAAAGTGATTATAAAGTTTCCTTTTTTTTAAAAAAATGAAGATGTTGTACTTACCTGCTTTGGGCAATGGGTTTACAGACAGTAACCCCGAAACTCCTCTTCTGGGGTCCCCCGCCTGTGCTCTCAGCTCTTCCCTTACGAGTGCTCCCATAGCAGAGAAGGTATAGGTAGTCTTTACAACCACTTTAAATTATGTAGAAAAAGGGTGCTTAGTTTTTTAAACCTTTGTTTCTTTGTTGTTTTTTTAAATTGACTGTTGGAAAATGTATGTAGCATTACCCCCTTAAAGGTTGCTTAGGAATTGTTGGGATCCCTGTCAATCTGACACCATCGTGCTCTCGTGACCAAAGAAAATCACAACTGTAAAATGGACTCAAACACACAAGTTAATATAGACCAATATGAAGTATATATTGGAATTAAAGGTAACTTTGTCAAAAAGAATAAAATTACATTGATATATGCAGCAAATATAATCACTCTTGGTAATTGTGAACAAAAGTAAAACATTCATCATAAAGCAACAATAAGTGTTGGCAGTTTTTCGAAATAATCCACAACCTTCAATCTGAGGGGGCTGCTGAATCCCCAATGAGCAGAAGCAACTATCAAGAAAGAGGTAAGCTCACTGTGGATCATCAGAACTATACGACAAGGATCAGATGTGAAGGAAAGAGAATTCTCATTTGAAATTGAGCACTGTCCCTTTAAGAACCCTACAGTGTCTTCTGCGCGCTTGTTGGGGATCAGTTGGTATGAGGTTGAGTTGAGGTGCGGAATATAGTTCCTTGGGATGGTAACACAAAGTTAATGAAGCAACAAGGGAGATTTAGCATTTTTCCTCTTGATGGTAGCGAATTAGGGAGGGATCCCCTTTAAACCACTAAACATGGGGCAGGCTTGAAATCATGAATAGCAACAATTGCCATAAAAGTCTATGGGCAAAGACAGCTCCTTCTATACATCAAAGGCAAAAGTAAACAGTAATGGGAATCCTGCTTTGTTGAAGAAGGGAAACTTGTTGTTTCAGTTGGCATTGCTTTATCCTGGCCTGCAACTGTATGTACTGCTGTCAACACTTGTACAATAAACTGTAATGTAGATGTATCTCAACGATGACAGCTGCGAGAACTAGGCCGCAAACTGAGGCAACTATAGGTAATGTTCACAACTATGTGTAGGTAGATAGCTGAGGTGACAAACTGTCAGTATTCACTGGGATAGTGGGTGCATGGGTTTCTCTCACTCGATCAAAGTAGTCAAGCAGAATGTAGCGGTCTGTCTTTCTCTGCAAACAGGGTCAGTCCACTGACTCTCCGGCTCAGACTCAGCATCCTGTCTGGTCTCCTGCTGTCATATTGACCTGCTAGACAGCGTGGCAGACCTGGTGGTCAGAAGGCTTTTTCTGCTCTTCCTCTCTCTCCAACCCTGGCTCTGCGGCCTAGTTCAGCATTTCAGCCATCAGTACATTGCCTTCTCCTTCCGTCTATCACCGCACTCTCTTGGCAAGTCTCCCGGGCTTTTGATATTTATATGCTACCCTTCCTGGGTAAATCAGTCTCTGACTGCCCTACTCACCAACTGAGTCCTGCTATCCAGCATACAAGTTCCAGAGGGCTGTTCTGTCCTTGTGAGTGACCATAAATGACAGGCCACCGCCATCTAATGTCCATTCTAATGTATTGCAAGTAATAACATTTCAATGGGTTAAATGTACTGCATATAAAAAGAATGAAAAATACCTATAATAAAGGCTATTTTACTTCCCTCATAAAAGAACAATTGTTTACAGCAACTGGACCAGCAAATTAAAATATATTGTATATTTTTTTTAAATCCACAGCAGGGACTGTACTTACATTGAATGTGTTGTGCTACCCCCACAGGGGCTGCTGGTTTTAACTTTCTCTTCCTCAAACAGTACAGAGGTCACCAGCCACCCAAGCAACAATCCATTCACTCCAGTTCCAATAAACAGTCAAAGGGTTGTCTTTTTATTATATATTGCTGGTTAAACTTTTACAGGAGAGGGATCAGAACACAGGATACTCCAAAATGGTTAGTACTTAGCAATTAGAGGACAGTCTGTTCCTTAAGTAAATTTGAATATTGGACAGTGTAAGGCCTCACAGCTGAAGCCATGACGCAAGTCTCTGGCAAGTGATTACCCTCCACCATTGCACATTCGTTGGTGCCCAGTGCAATGTCAGGAACACCTCACAGTACAGGAGGGCATTCTTCTCTAAGCTCACAGCCATGGATACCGCTGAAGATGGGTAATGGCCAGTATCTGAGACCCCATGAGAGCAGTCTCAGTCCAAGCTATCTCTGGCTCTTATATTCCAAAAGCACAAAGTCACCAGAAATGCATTCAGGGTTGTTTCTCAAGTTCCCAGGACAGCTGCCACCTTGCAGCTTATTCCAGATACAGTCCAGTGAGTGAGACAGTCCTTCTCTAAACCAGATCGCTTTGGTAAAGTCCTGCAGACAGTTCCAGATCATTTCCAGGTCCCAGCATTGCCACTTCTGAGACCTCAGAACAGCAAGAAAATCCACAGGCTGCTTCAGGGTCAATAGCCCCCTGAGGCTTGGGACTCTTCTACCTAGGGAGAGACCCCCTCTCCAGGGCTTCAGACTATATATCAGCTTCCCAGCTACCATCTGGGCACATCTCCACAGGGATTGGCTAGGCTCTGATCAATATTCAGGATGGCTATTTGAATTTTCCCTCTCTAAGTTCTATAAACATTTTTCTAGAGGCAGGGGGAAGCAATCAAACTCCCAACTTGTGAATCCCTGAACAGACCAGACCAAATAACCACTGCTTCCTTGATTACAGAAGGAGCCAAAAACTAAATTTACCTAGCATCCTACACCAGGAGGGTGTTACAGATTAAAAGTGCCCTATCATTGTGGCTTCTATGTTTGTAGAACTATCATTTCCCGCAAAGAGAAGTGCTCTATGAATGGAGGACAAGTGGATGAATGAAAGGTCTGCCTACTTTGTTCACAGAACACTTTTTATTGTGGGAACTGACAGTACAGCTTTTATGAATGGAGCAGTGGAGAAGAAAGGACAGGTTTAGTTGGCATGTTTCACAAGTGCCTGTGATAGGTCCAGTGGCATGTATTTACCCCTGTAGCACCAGAATATCACAGCTGAGGAATGAAGATCTCTAAAAACATACCAGTCACCAGCACAAGAGACACTTTTTATTATGTAAGTACCATCCCTGGTGCTGATTAAAAAAAAAATTACTAAACTTACGGTTTAATGGTGGCAGACCTAACTCTGGTTATGAAGTGTAACAGAAATGTATTTTGCTTTAAGCCATTAAATATGTTATGTTTACTTTTTACGTTCATTTCCACTTTTCTGTGAGAACAGTTCTTAGATGTGGTCACCCAGCACCTTGTGAACAGAATGTTGTGTTCTTGTGCTAAAGCAGCAGACATTTGATGTAAACACTGTTTCTCACATCCGATGGCGACCTGACCACAACTGCTTATGGGCATGTCTTGGTTGGTGAATCCTCTGTCTATGTTCAGCTTGGTTAGTCGAGAGTTTCTTTATGCATCTTCCTCAATTTCATATGTCAACTTGATAACATTTAAACAATGCAGAGAGAAAAAAAACTATTTCCGTTGTGTTGGCAGTCTCTCGTGGAAAAGACACAATGTACTATCACACAAATAAGAACTTTGCACCTGTTCTCATGTTGTCTGCTGTATTAACCACCAAGTTTCAAAATGTACCTAAAGTAAATTTGAATACCATACAACTTGTATATAATACTACCTAATGTACTGTATATACTGAGAAAATTCAAATACACTTCTCTTTACAATAAACGTTTTCAGACATATCAGAGCCAGATTTCAGCTTAAATGTTAAAGTTCAGTTCCAGACAAATTTAAAATTTCTGTCTGTTATTAAACTTTAGAAAGGCATCCTCTAGACTGGTCACTGAGTCAATGTGTGTGTTGACAGCCACTGCACAATCAGAAGAAGAGCTCTGATTGTTATCTTCATCTATGTGACGCACATCTTCCTTTTGTTTTTGAATTTAGAATTTGGAGAGGATAAGGTTAACAGTTATTGACCAAGGATCGATATTACTGCTGCCAATGCATAAAAACAGATTACATGCATTTTGATGTGCTGCCATTGACTTATGTGGGACTTAGAATAAAAAAGGCTACACTCAGGTCCATAAATATTGGGACATCGACACAATTCTAACATTTTTGGCTCTATACACCACAATGGATTTGAAATGAAACGAACAAGATGTGCTTTAACTGCAGACTGTCAGCTTTAATTTGAGGGACCAAAAGTAATGGGACAGAATAATAATCATAAATCAAACTTTCACTTTTTAATACTTGGTTGCAAATCCTTTGCAGTCAATTACAGCCTGAAGTCTGGAACGCATAGACATCACCAGACGCTGGGTTTCATCCCTGGTGATGCTCTGCCAGGCCTCTACTGCAAC